GGATAAAAGCAATAAAGAGATTCTGCATCAACAGGAAGGAAGAATAGCAAGACAAAAATGTTAAGTACATAAACAGAGCTCAAGTACCTGGATTAAGGGACTAGATTACAGTCTAATAGGCTGTAGGCAGAAGGGGTGAACTAAGAAATGAGGGTGCCTGTGTGAACCAAAGTTCATGGGGACCAATTTTAAGAAGGAGGGTCTACATTCTTCTATTTTTGAATCTCGGGCCCACCTGGTTCTCCTGATAATCATGGATTCAATATGGAAAACCCATCATTCATTAATAGATGCCAACGCACATGGTTCTAGTCTCACTGAACCTCTTGGAGACTCAGGGTGATTCTCTTAATGGGGATATTTTTTGTCTTGTAAGAAGAAAGCATGATCATACTCCCCAGATAATACCTTGTGTACCTCTTTCCATGTGTTGATGGCATTATACTGCACTGCACAATTTGATGGGCACTATAGTCTATAATTGGAGAGTAGAGGCTTACATGATCTACTGATTTTTGTATCAAACAAAAGGTCTGGTATGCTGCTTTGCCCAGGCAGGGATGCAACTGTACAGGCTATATCTGTGCAATTGAAAGAAGAAAGGGAGGACCAGGAAATGAAACCCATCTGCCACATGGACCACACAATGAAAGCATCTTTTCCCAAATTACTGGAATATCCAATAAGAATGCAGCAGCAAAACTCTCTTTAGGAACACCTGCATGTGTTGTGTCCTTTAATCGTCAGTCCATAAATCTCTCCTTAGTATGTACCCTGTTTCTGTTTACAATAGTTTGATAACCAAGCTATGATTACATATGCCCAACATCAGTCCCTCTCTGACATGTGTGATCCATTCCAATGCTAATTCCCTGTGCCGATGTTTCTAACCTGTTCCATGTTTCTTAATTGCACAGTCTGAAAGGGCTACACCTGTGAGGGGAAGCCATCCACAAATCTGTAGAGGTAAAAGAGAACCATCTATCTCTGGGGCCTGCTCCCCAAATGCTAGGACGTGAAACTGATTATTCTAACAAGGCGAATTTCGCCCCCTCGGGTCATGACCTGGTTTTACCAGATAAATGTGAAGCTCCTGGGGAAGCACCTCCAGGCTTTGTCTTTTTTTTTCCCTCGTAAGTTTCTGGCTGTTGGCCTTCAAACTGCAAGCTGGCAGCTTTCATCCTTTAAAAGCTTAATAGCCTGAAAACCCACTGGGCACCTAAAATACCTGTATTCTTCAGCCCTAGTTCTTGAGGACAGATGGAACAGAAATCAAGGCACTTGACCTTCTTACTTCCTGCTCGTAGCCGGCGCCTCCTGTTATAATCACTGAAACCCTCACCGAGGCCAGAAATACAGAGGACTTTTCCAGATGGACGTCTCTAGAATCGTTGCTGTTCATCTCACAGGCAGTTGGCCCTCTAGGCCAGAGGTCTTCAAAGTGCGATCCTGAACCTACATGCTGCAGGAGTAGGAGCAGCAGCACAGTGTCACCTGCGACTCTGTTAGAACTGAAATTCTTGGGCCCTAGTCTTTTTAAATCAGCAACTCTCAGGTTGACGTCCAGCAATCTGCACTTTAACAAGCCCTCCAGGCAATTCTGATGCTTGCTAAAGTTTGAGGACTACTGCTCAGGGTAATTGAGCCAATAACATTCAGCTGTAGGTCATGGAGAAGTTTATATCACGTAAGAAACCACCACTAACCTCAGTCCCAGAAACTGGGAGTTGAACTAGTTTCAAAGGAACACTACTGAACTTTGAAGGTGCTTGGATAGCTGGTTGTGTGTGTTTGGACATACCCAAGGTTCTCCCCTGTGCGGTCCAAGAAAGCTGAAAATAGAGGAGGACTCTAAACGTGAGTTGCTAAAACCTGGGGTTGGCTGTGGGGGGACTGGGTTTCACAGAAGTGACTTTATCCTTTTTTGATTTGACTGTCCATACTCAGCTACTATTTTCTCCCTCTCATTTTATGACACAGATTTTGCTTTACCGTGTTTCTTTCATTATGATTGACTGAAAACAAGAATTTATGAAGTCCTATTGTATGTGAAGTACACAACAAAAATTGATACCTCAAAAAAAAAGGGGGGGGAAACACAAGCCTAATTTTAAGAAACCTAAACAAAAAGTTACCTACCATATGGAGACATAGTTCAGGGTAAGCTTCTTTGGAATTTAACTTCCTGAGCCATTTCTCTGGGTGCCTTTCTCTGCTGCAGAAATGACCCAGTCCTGGCTTAGTTTTATCTTTTTAGAATGCAGGATGTTTACTTGCAAAACACTTTACTTTTCTTTTATCTAAGCATTTAAGCTCAGTGGAGACACTCATTCTTTAAAAAACAAATTTCCAGAGAGTCTTTTTGAAATGCACTTAATGGTGTATGTTTTATTTCATTTTAACAAATCTAATCTTTCATATAACCAAGTTTGCAGGAAGTAGGAGTCAATTGAGTTAACATTGAATAGGAAGGAGGCAGAGGTGAATGCATGGTTGGGGGTTTATAGAAATATTTTTCGGGAGGGTACAGATTGGGAAGGCAGACCCTAATTCTGTAATTCCATATTCTTCTCTCTTTCATCCCTTCCCTCCTTCTCCCTCCTTCTCCCTCCATCTCCCACCCCCACCTCTCTCTCGCCCTCCTCCTCCCTCTCATTACCTTCATCTCATTCTCCCCCCTTCCTCCCTCTGTCTCTGTCACATGTGTAATTTTTAGTTCTAATAACTAAAAATACACGCTTTTCACTGAGATTTGCTTCACTGATAAATTAGATATGATTTAATGCCAACTTCAATTGTTGTTAGGATGACCTGACAACTATAAAACGATCACTGTAAAATGTGCCAATGTAAAGAATTACTAGAACTGGAGGAAACCTGCAGGTATCCTTAAACCACGGACACTTAACATTGTCCTTTGTGACCCACTGCAGACCCTTTCTCTCTCCCCATATCACTTCTCTGCTTGCTTTTCTCCAACCCCACGCCCCTCTCCAGGTTGAACTGCTTTTAAAATGAGGAGATACAGCTGCCAGCAGCTGAAATAGTGGCTGTGGGATCTGGGACCAAAGGCCGTTAGATCATGGGCATGTATCCAGCAACGGTTCTCTGATTTTTCATTATTTACTGTTATTAAGGTATACTTGACATGTAACGTTGTCATAGCTTCTGGAGTACAACATAATGATTCAATAATTGTATAGACTGTGCAGTGATTCCCATAATAAGTGTAGTTACCATCTGTCATCATTCATAGTTACCATGTTCTCTTTTCTCAAAAACTTTTGAGATCTACTCTGTTAGCAACATTCAAATAATGCGGTACAGGGTTATCACCCACAGCCACGCTGCACAGTACAGCCCCATGACATTTATTTTGTAACTGGGTGTTGGTGCCTTTTGGCTCCCTCTACACATTTTTTTCTAGCCCCTTCCCCAATCTATTGTCAGCATCTGCAAGTTCAGGTTTGTTTTTTGTTTGTTTTAGTTTTTGGTTTTTTAGGGTCTACATATAAGTGACCCTATGTGGCAATCATCTTTCTCAGTCTGGTTTATTTTACTTAGCCTACTGCCCTCAAAGCCCATCTATGTTGTTGCAAAGTTTCTTAATTTTTATAGCTGTATAAAACACACAATAGTCCTGGCTCGTGTGGGTCAGTGGATTGAACACTGGCCTGGGAACTGAAAGGTTACTGCTTTGATTCCCAATCAGGCCACATGCCTGGGTTGCAGGCCAGGTCCCCATCTGGGGTCGATGTATCTCTTGCACATCAACATTCCTTACCCTCTCTTTCCATCTCATCCCATCTCTCTGAAACTAAATAAATAAAGTCTTTTTAAAAACTTTTTTAAAAAGCATTCAATATACATAAATATATATGTATAATGGCTGGATAATATTTCATCATTTTAATGCATATAAAACATGATGTAAGTAAAATATATATATTTATATAATGGCTAAATAATATGGCATTATTTGTATACATAAATTATATATATGAACATATCTTGTGTATGAATTGCTCAATGGACACTTAGGTGTCTCCATCATTTGGCCATTGTAAATAATGCTGCAGGGAACATGGGGTGCATATGTCTTTTCCCGTCAGTGTTTTTATTTACCTAGAATATATACCCAGAAGTGGTGTGGCTGGATCAGGTGGTAATTCTTTTTGAAATTTTTTAATGAATTGCACCGTTTTTCATAGTGGCTGTACCAATTTACATTTCCTCCAGTAGTATGCAGGATTCTTTTTCTCCACTTCCTCACTAACACTGGTTAATTGCGTATCTTTTTGATGACAATCGTTCTAACAGACATGAGATGATGTCTCATTGTGTTTTTTTAAATTTATTTTATTGTTGTTCAATTACAGTTGTCTGTATTTTGTCCCCACCCCTCTCCCCGACCTCCTCCAAACCTACCTCCCTCCCTTGCTTCCACCCTCCCCCTTGGTTTTGTCCACGCGCCCTTTATAGTAGTTCCTGAAAACCTTCTCCCCACTGTCTCCTCCCAGCTCCCCTCTGGCTATTGTTAGATTGTTCTTAATTTCAATGACTGGTTTTATGTTGTTTGCTTTGTGGTTTCGATTTGTTTCCCTCAGGTTTAGTGATGGTGAGAACCTTTTTGTGTCTGTTGGCCTTCAGTGTGTCATCTTTGGAAAAAATATCTCTTCAGATTCTTAGCCCATTTTAAAATCGGAGTGGTTTCTTATTTGTTTTTGGGATTGAGTTTTATGAGTTCTTTATATATCTTGGATATTAACCCTTATCAGACATGTCGTTTGCAAACATTTTCTCTCATTCCATAGGTTACCTTTTTATTTTGTTGATGGTTTCCTTTGCTGGGCAGAAGCTTTGTAGTTTGATATAGTTCCACTTGTTACTTTTGTTTTTTGTCTGCTGCTTATGGTATCAAAACAAAAAACTCATCACTAAGACAGATGTCATGGGGCTTACCGCCTATGTTTTCTTCCAGGAATTTTATGGTTTCGGGTCTTACATTCGATCACTTCACAGGTGTGCCTGTCATCTTTGCACAGGGGTCGTGCCAATTCTGTGTATCATTTCAGTTTTAGCCTATGTGTTGCTATAGACAGCGCAGCAAATTTCTTCTAGCATCTCGTTTTGTGTGTACTTGTTAACATACATACATGGGGGCAGTGGAGTTTAGTTAATCTGAGATACAAAGTAACCCACCCAACGTATTCCTAAACAAGAAATATTATACGCTGTTGAAGTAAACAGCTATCAACTCGTAAAATGTCCTAATCTAGGAAGTGTTGTGTTCACAGCATAAGCAATGGGATTCTGTGCTTTTCCCAAATGTATTTGGCCCCCAAAGGCAGATTTAAATGGACCTTATCCCCTGCTAGTCCAACTCAAGGAACATTGAGAATTGTAATCTCTTTCAGTTTCCTCTCTCTCACCTCAGGGCTGAAGTTTAGAATCATTTTTTTTTCAAAGAGAATGTTTCTCTCAAGCACTTCTGTAGTGTTTGCTGCAGAAGAATGTGTGGAACTTTGTTCTTGAGAATATCAGGATTGCCTAGCAGTCAAAGTGCTATTGGTGGCGTTGGCCTCTGGACCCGGCACCCCAGGGTCTGAGTCCCTCACTCCTGGTCCAGCCAAGAGAACAAACCACTGCACAAATTCACTGTGGAGACCACAGCAAACTGAGCAAATGGCCCCGCCGTCACTGGATATGACCCCAGCTGTTTTCCTCTTACAAGCTGGTTCTGAGTCAACCCAGGAAAACAGAATGAGGTTGTGCTCAGGCTCAATTATACTTTCAAATTGCCTGTATTTAAAACCCCCTGAAAACTGTAATGGCTTAATTAAGCTGGTAACATTATGGCATCCTTCTCACAGCCTAACTCGAAGGCCTTTCTCTTTAGCTGAGAAGTCAGTGACAAGTTTGCCTTTTGGGGCTGGCTGGCTGCCAGAAGGAGGAGGGGCCCCAGGATGGGAAAATGAAGAAAGTAGATCTTGGTGGAAGCTAAGTTCCCCTTGTGGCAGATGGCCTACAAATCTTCAGTCCTTTGGAGTACATAAAACAGAGCTCTAGGGAAGGAGCAGGCATTAATTTAGGTTTCAGAAAGAGCAGGGCACGTTTTCACACGGCAAAGTCGCCTCCGGAATACATCAACTAGAACACTGTTCCAAAGAAGAGAAGGATACAGGTTATGGCCTGATGTTACCTGAAAGGAGAAGTCCCTCCTTTAAGAAAGTACTGAAATCCCACCCCCTGGTGCCCCACCCCCTATTCCTATCCCAATGGCTTCATTCTTACGTCCCTTTTTTTCTTTAAAGATTTAATTTATTTATAGGAGAAGGGAAGGCAAAGAAAGAGAGGGAGAGAAACATCAATGTGCGGTTGCCTCTCCCACACCTCCTACTGGGGACCTAGCTTGCAAACAAAGCATGTGCCCCAACTGGGAGTCAGCCAGAGACCCTTTGGTTCACTGGTCAGTGCTCAGTCTACTGAGCTACACTAGCCAGGGATTCATTCATTCTTTCTGGACCATGACATTTATAACCTGGGAGGAGCATTTTAATGTCGCTGAATGGATTTTGACCCTTCATCTGGACATGGTCAAGTGCTGGGATGTGGGCTGCTCTGAGTCACTACCAACTGCCTCACTGAAAGGGCGAGTCACACCTGCAGCAATATTGTTACCCAAACATTCAGGTCTCTTGATCTTGTTGGAGAAATCCTTTATTTAGAGGTCTGTTGAAACCTTTATCGAATGAAAGACTTAAAGAAATTAATTACTGATCACCTTTATTTTTTAAAGTGCAATTAAAGATATGGCTAAAGAATCAATCTATTTTTCCTGTAATAGTACCTCTCCCAGTCCCTAATAATGAAGACTTAAGTTAGCAAGTTAAACTTATTTATTTTTAAAATATTAATACTAATTCCTATTTCAGAAGCTGGGTAGGACTTAACAAGTAATACCTATAAGATACTTAGCACAGTTCCTGGTTTCTAATCACTTAATGTTAGCGCATGATATTACTACCATTGCAATTATTTTCACCAAGTGGCCATTCTTTAGGGTTTTTATTTAATGGAAATCCCAACAATTATATATTTATCATGACTCAGATAAAGAGTGAAGGAGACATATTGTCATACTGGCACCTCAGGGTTGCAGAGAAGGGACTGGCAAACCAATATCCCTAAGTTTTACTTCTTTGGTGTTCCAGTGTTCATCCTTTTATTCCTTCTTCAACAGCTGCTTGTTTTATGCTTTGGGGAATTAAAGTAAAAGTTTTTCATTTTTAGGAAGCCACATGCTATCTGTCCTTAAATCAGAGGTGAAAGGCAGCATGCCATGGCAATAATCCAAAGTTGGAGGCCACACAGACCTTCTGCTTTAAACGTATTTTATATGAAGTCAAAATTCATCTTTTGCTTTTGAAAGCAATGAAGGTGATTGGCTGAGACAGAAGTGAGCAAACATGAGAAGGAAGCCCCTCCTGGCAGAAAAGAGTTTTCTCCCCTCAGCTTTTTAATGGCGTGTGAAAGGCATTAATCCACACTTTCCTTTCCTAGTAGCCAGATAGAAATGTCTTCAGATGACGTGAATACCTTATAAGCCTAAGTGACTTTCTGATGTATTTTACTAGAAGTTCTCATACGTATAAATTGGGCATCATTGGAGCTTGACAGCCGTGAACATACTTCTTAAAAAACTTCCATGGGATATGGCAACTCTAGCCTTTAAGAAAAGGCTGTCATCTGTCATGTCACACACACTTAGCATCTTTGTGTGGCAGCTTTACCCAGACATGAAGTTGGACTTCCCCAAAACCTGCCAGAAACTATGAGGAAAAACCACGCTGTCACAGGTTGGGAGGTTGGGAGATTACAGTACAAAGCAGAGAAACTCCGTCCTTGAAGGGTGTAGTTCACTATGCTTTTGAGAATGATGCCCCAAGTTTCAGAAAAGGAAGTTTCAAATGTTTCAAACGGTTTCACCATTTTTGAAAAGGAAGTTTATAGACAATCCGGGCTGTTCTGCTGATTTTTAATGCCAAAGAAGCTAAAGTAAGTATGTGTTGCAGAAAACTCAAAACAAAATGTGCAACCCTTTCCTCCCAAATCCAATCAAGCAAAACACATCCCTCTGACATCTTTCTGTCTGTTCAGAACAGAAGATTGTTTAGTCTGAAGAAAGTGGCTTACCTGAGGATACACAAGGAAGGATGGGGACTTTATATTGTCCAATTCCAATCTCTACTTCTTTCTACTCCACTTGCCCTGCTCAAACCCCCAAGGGCTATATAATATTAATCTTTAACACTAAGCCTCCTACTACTCTGCTCAGATTTACTTGAAATGTAAAGTCATTTTCTTCATTTCCCAAGGGGACTCTGCTAGAAACTCTCAGCGTCTATTGCAAGCATTGTTTTCTTTGCCCTAAGTTTCTACTTATAGGAAGGCCCCTTGTGAACTTGTATTTGCTAATATAACAGAGACTATCACCTTTGAAAATGGGTTCATTTATTTCATGAAGAGTCACTCGCCTCTGCTGTAAAGATCAGTATCCTTCTATCACAAAGACAAACTTTCCACATTTTTTGTAGGAGTGTTTGGGGCATCCAAGATTTATGATTCAAGCTTGTTTTCCTAAAATGCAAGTGAATTTGATTTTTTTAAATGTGGCCATTTATCTTCCTACATAAGTCAATTTTTTCTACTCTTCTCTTCATCGATACTGTCGCTTTTCAATTCCTCCAACACACTTCAGGTAAATGGCTAAATCAGTGTGGCCACAGGTGAAGACACATTAGATTTCTCCTGTGGAGGTAGAGAAGATGAGCAGTTAATGGGTAAATGATAGGCCAACATTGAGGTCAATATTTACCCCATACTACAATGAATCTTGATAACTGGATATCAAAACAAGATGACATCAATCAGCATGGTGTGCTATGTCCTTTCTGAATAGTTTCATTGGAAAGGTATGCAAATTCTGGGAATAAAGTTTACAATAATTTTGTGGTAATGCTTTTGCTCTGAAAAGGAAATGACCTTTTAAGACAAGGCAAAGATTCAGATTCTCATTGATTTTTTTTTTTAAGAGGGAGAAAAACATCAATATGTGGTTGCCCCTGGTGCGCCTCCTACTGGGGACCTGGCCTGCAACCCAGGGATGTGCCCTGACTAAGAACGTACCAGTGACCCTTTGCTTCACAGTCCTGTGCTCAATCCTAATAGCCACACCAGCCAGGGCTCTCACTGATTTTTTAAACTTTTATGTGCATTAGAATCACTTGGGGTACTTTTAGATTAATACAGATTCCTAGATTTTACCCATTTTCTGATTAAGTGGAGGTGGCCTTGTGCCCACTCACTGTTTCAAAAAAGACCAGGACAATCTGATGCAGACAAGTGAGGGAACATAGTTTGAGAAACACTGACTTAAATTCTACTACTATTGTGCCTGGGAGGTAAGTAATGACTTACATAATCTACCCATCAACTAAGCAACATTTATTTAGAAACAAATATGTTCAAAAGAAAATGTGCATATATCCATTATGAAGAACTCGTAGTTTTTCTTTGTTCTGCTCTATCAAATAAAATGGTAATTTTTAGTTCTCATATATGAGCTGGAAAACAGTAAGAGCCAAGTTTATCCACATACTTTATGAATGAGGCTTGCTAAAAAAATCTCAAAACAGCAATTGCTCATACACGGAGACCCTGCCTTCTCTGAAATATAAATGCCAAAAAGTTATTACATCACCAGTTCATAAACTTAATCAAGTAGTTAAGTCCTGGCAAACTGGTGGAGCAATACCTGCAATCTGACTACTTGCCATGATTTCTTATTCCTGTTTCCTTCGTACTTGTCACATTTTGCTTGTTTCTCTAGCAGCACTCACTGGAGAGACATTTTTATAACCATATTTCTTAGCTCTGTGTTAAGGTCATGAAGAATACTCAGGATCTAGCTGTTGATTTTAAATTTTCTGGTTTCATTGAATTTTCATACAGATCACATAGAAAGAAGTTTAGCACACAACATACTGCATTTGCCGAACATGACCATGCCCGATTTTTCTCATGCAGGTTTCTGTTAATA